GCAGGGAAACTCTTACCTATTGGGGAGAATCATGAGGACATACGCCTTGGAATATACGTCGGTTAAACGCGAAAATAAGGCACACAATCGTGTTGCCTGATATAATATGTTCCTTCGAAGTTCCGAAACCGCATGAGAGCGAGAAGGGCGAGTCTAGCCGTTAGATCAACGTCACATTTTGGGACAAGGAACAATCGTGGCAAGTGTTCATGCTTGAACTGGCGTGCATCCTGTCACAGGGGAAGCGCCCCAGCGGGATTGATCTTGACCAGGAAGAGCAGGTGGCTGGCTGCCCTTCGTCGTCGTGACACCTGCGTCGTGAATAATGATAATTAATCATACCAACTCGAAATGTTTGCAAGTATGTTTATTAATAGCTTTCTTCAGTGCCCATTTGCCAATGCCATTAAAATCGTGTCCAAGGATTGCATAAGAGCTTAACATAAAGGAAACATAAACACTAAGTTATTGTATTCTGTTCTTACTTCCTATAGATTTATCTCATTATTCTCAATCTCTACATCTTGGTAAATATCTAATATTAATTTCTATAGTTTTAAAATGTACATTAATATCATGAGACAATATTACCGAAAGCAATTTTGATGTGACTCTGCTAGCTCATTTGTTAACATGGTAAAAATAGGCTGATCATGTGAAAATAAAATGGACTAGGTATAATTAAAAATAAATTTAAATAGGAAAAGTATTTCTTTTATATTTGATTTAAAAAAACATGTGGGAGTCGAATGCAAAATTAAGCATGCATCAGCAAATGTGTTGACAAAGTTAAGTGCATGCCAACAAATCTACTTCATCGATGCCAACTCATGATCCTAAAGCGTACTTTTAATTACAGGAACTAGCATTGTAGACAAAACAACAATGAATAAAAATATAGGAAATTGAAGTAGGCACTTGCTTATAAAAGAAAACGGTAATCCAATTAATGAGACTGAAAGTTTATTAATTTTTGTAAAAGTGTGGTAATTCTCACATGTGTTATATGTATCATGCAATGTTGGATTTTACTATGCTTATTATTAGATATGTAATTTATAAATTTAAAAAAATTTAAGATTGGCCTTGAAAGTTTAAAAATTTATTTATTCCTAACTTATTTGAGCAGCTAAAATAAGTTTAGAGAAATTCGAGCTAAGCCAAACCCGAATGAACTTATCTCGAATACCTGAATTCTTTATTTATTAATAATAAACTAATATTAAAATAAAATAAAAATGAAAAAAATATTAATTTCTTAAATAAAAATTGAAATTAATTCTAAAAAACAAAATAAAGTATAACAATTAGGATATTCGGGCTAGCCCGAAAGCCTAAGGGTGTGGAGTCAATCTTAGCTATATGAACTTTTTATATATTTAGATATTTTAAATTTAATCTAAAAAAGCTTGACTTATCTGAATTAATGGCTCTACTTATTATGAGGAGAAGGTTAATTTAATTTATTTTTATTTTTATTTTGAAAAAATTAGGCCATCCCCACCAAGGTAGCCAATGGATTATAAACTCATAACCATAGCCAAGAATTCGGCCAAACTTGATGGATTAATTCGAACCTGCCTACAAAAATTTAGGATTGGCCTTAAAAAAAGATAATTTTGTATGTTCGAGAGCCTATTCAAACTAAGCTTGATCGGGTTCGAGCTTGGCCTGAACACCAAAAAAAATTAATTTTATTTTAAAAATCATATAAAATATAATAAATATTAATTAATTATTCAAATTTTAGGTCATTTTATACTAAAATCATATATTTGAGTTCCATACATCATTTAAGTATTGAAAAATATATTTTATATTTTTTATAGAATAAAATGATTAATTTAAAAGTAAAAAATTAATCAAAAATAATTTTAAAAATAAAATTTAGGTATTCGATTTGCTCTTAAAGCCTGAAGAAATTCAGGTCGGGCTTAGCTATTCATCTTTTCAGGAAGTCAAGCTTATTCAGGTCACACTTGAATAAACCCCGCCCTCTTGAATTCCCAACTCTACTCATAACCTTCAGACTCATCAAAATAATGATGATTAACTAAGCCACCAAGCACATTTGGTCACATAAGGGTGGAGAATTATGTACATGTAATAAAGTTAGTTTAAAACAACTTTCTTATTATAAGTTAAAATGAACCCATTAAATTAATGGGAATTAAGTCTAATGAAAAGAATTAGTTTCATGTAACATAACAAATCAAAATTCAAATCTTTCAGAGAGAGGTTGCAACATTGCAGCCTTATTTTAAAATTTTAAATGACATTAGAAATTAATTTATTAAATAAATTGAAGATAATAAATATTTATTAATATTAATTTGAATTTAACAAGATTATTTTTTTAGTAATTAAAAATTATTAAATAATTATTTAAAGAAAAAATTATCCAAAATAAGTTAACTTTTAAGCACATAGCACTGAGCGATGATTTTTTTTTAAAGGGAGAAATTGACATGTTTAAGTAATTAAATGAAATCATATAAATTATGGATCTATTTAAAATTGCTTTTGTTTTATTATTTTAAGAACTGATATTTTATAAACATTTATTTGATAATATAATATTAATAAAAATAAGTGTTTTTTTATTATCTTTATTTTTTAAAATAATAATCCCAAAACAAAACCCTAGAGGTTGTAACATTTCAACCTTAATTTTAAAAAATTTAAATGACACTTGAAGTTAATTTATTGAATAAATTGAAGGTGTTAAATATTTATTAATAATAATTTGAATTTAACAAGATTATTTTTTAGTAATTAAAAATTATTAAATAAATATTTAAAGAGAATTATCCAAAGTGAGTTAAATTTCAAGTACACAATAATAAGCCGTGTTTTTTTTTTAAAAAAAGGAGCAGTTGACATGTTTAAGTAGGATTAAATGAAATCACATAAATTATAGGCCTGTTTAAAATTATTCTTATTTTATCATTTTGATAACTGATATTTTATAAATCATGTTTTCAAAATAAAAAGTAATAAAAATAAGTAATTTTTTCGTTCCCTTGATTTTTCAGAAAATAATTCTGTAACATTAAATGATGTTTTCATTTTTTTATTCTTAAAACAATATTTTATTTTTTATTTTTTAAAATATTTTTAAAAACCACGTTGCTTATAACATCTTGATTTTTAGATAACAAAGAAAGTATAAAATTTAAGTTTTATTGAGGATAAAATAATAATTTATATTATTTGAAGTTATTCAAAATACTAATATGATTAGACATTTAATTATCAATTAAAAATTTAAATTTTAAATTATATAAAAAATATTTTGTTGAGATATAATTTTAATATTTAAAATATATAAATAATTGTGTGTGTGCTTGTAGGCAACAAAAAAAAAAAAGATGAAAGGCTTCTTTTAGGTCTCACATTGGTTAAATGTAGGAAGAGAAAGCTGGAAGGCGCATCAAGAGGCAAAGAAGTGGCTAAGACGTAATTTTAAAAAATTATAATTAATGACCCAAGAGTTTAAATAATTAAATTTAATTTTATTAAAAAAAGATTATAAGTTTGAATTTAATTATTCAAATTCTTAGGTCATTAATTATAATTTTTTTAAATTACATCTCAGCCACTTCTTTGTTTTCTTACGTGCGTCCCAGCGAATTTATATTTAAAGAATCTTTTTTTTTTTCACATCTAATTGACTTAAAAAAGCCTTCCACCCCTCTCTCTCTCCCCTCTTTGTTACCTACACATACACAATCATTTATATATTTTAAATATTAAAATTATATCTTAACTAAATATTTTTTATGTAATTTTAAATTTAAATTTTTAATTCATAATTAAATACCTGTCTACATTATTATTTCTAAAAATCTTAAATAATATAAATTTCTATTATTATTATTATATTATTATTATTATATTATTTTATCCTCAATAAAACTTAGATTTCACACTTTTTTTTACTATCTAAAAATCAAGATGTTACATTATTGAATGTTTTTTTTTTTTTGTTGATTATAGATAACATAAACTATTTTCAAAAGAGGTTGTCAAATAAGCCTTATTTTTCCTCTTGTAGGGTTATAATTATTTAAATTTATAACAAAGTTATATATGAGAAAGATATAGAAATTTAGTTTACTCATTTAATTTTATGAAAGCTTTAGAAAATTATGAAATTCTTTATGGACAATAAAATTATGAAAAATTTAAAACATGTATTAAGTCATGATAAATAATATTTGGATTAAATGGAAACTATTTTGGTAAATTAAGAACAAAAATAAAAAAAAGTATGAGAAAGGGAAAAAATAAATAAATTGGCCCGCACCTATTTAAAACACACGCGCTAATACATAATATTACTCAATCTAATAATAATAATGGCACTACATTACCCCCTTGGTCTTCATCATGTGCTTCTACAAAGTGAGAGAGGCGCAGCTTCCATGCTCCATTAATGGAGTTTTAGAAAACTGTTGAGCTCCGTTTTGTACCGTAACCTCCCCAAATCACAAAACTTTCCACACAAAATTATCATATGTGATGAGAACTTTCTGACGATGTGAATAATTGGAGAAGCAGGGGCCAATTTAAAGGGAAGCAGAGCTGGTTTAAATATTAGAGTTCAAAGCAAGCATTGAGTTTCACTAATCAAGAATAATAAGATTGTTAAGGTAAGTGAATATTTCAATGTAATCCGTTTAATTGATAAATAAGGTTGAATTTTTCCCTCTAGCTATGTTGAAATTGAACTTTGGGTATAAAAAGAGCGATTCCTAATTTTCGAGTTAATTATTACTTGAAACATCAACAATTAGTCACGGACAACTTAGAAAAACTTGTTAAAAATTGATTATGCAATCAAATAATAAATTTGAGTGGTTTTTCTAATTATAGATGAATTAATGTGAATTTTTTATGTACTTTCAGTATGAGTAATCTAGATATTGTTTGGCTAAAAGAATTAGTTCGGTTAAGAACTTTGTGTGATAAGACTGTTATATTTAAATTTTATGATAATTGAATTTAATTTGAGTTACTGTTGTGCACTCGAAATTTTTACTCAAAAAAAAAGGTCTTTTTGACATAATTGTGAAAATTGAGCTTGTAAGCTTTTAGTGGATTTTAAAAGTGATTTGATAATGAAGAAAAAATCACGGGATGTTTAAAATTGTAAAATTCATTTGACAGTATTGGATTGAAATTTTAAAAGAATAATCACAGAATTTGATAGTTGCGGGAGTTTTATTGGTTAAATCATGATCTTATAGTTAAGAAATAACTATTGGAAGTGAGACATGGATTTGAATGTTTTGGCACATTGTTAATATGGAGAGATTTAGGAGAATTGATATTGATATTGAACTGAAAATTAGGAAACTGAAGGGCATGGAAGATTTGAACATAGATGAAGGTTTTGTTGATTGGGAGTGACTTGATTGAGTTTTTTTTTTTTTTGATTGAGAATCGGTAAAAGTAGGACTAAATAATGTTCGAGCCTGGTTGATAAAATAAAAAACTTTAGAATAGTATAGTGGATTAATGCATTGATTATAGTTGCATTAATGTGTAACATTGTTATTTATACGACTAAAGTGTATTTTTAGTTCTTTACTTTTTACTTTATGTAAGGTTTCAATTTGATTCTTTAATTGTATATATTAATTGTTGATTGCTGGTATTTGTCTCATACTTACTTGGGTTGTTTTTTACTTCGTAAAAGAGATAACATTTGATTATTCTTTCTTATGTTGACATGTCTACTTTTTATTAACGTGCATGTATAAAACATTGTGCCCATTGAGGGTTTGTCTGATTGATTTTCGAACTGGAAGTATATGTTATGAACTATCTAGAATGTTTTGTATGGTATTTGAATTGATTTATAATTATTTCATTTCTTTTAAGCATGTTAGTCTGTGTTGGGTGGTGATTTAATTGTTGAAATGATTTACGATTGTGGTTTAATTCTTTTAAGCATGCTTGTTGGTTTTGAGAATCGAATATGGACATGGTTTGTTCTTTTTAAGCATGCTTGTGTTTTTTTTAAACTTAACTTTTAGAATGCAATGCAAGGAGAAAATAAGATGGTCAATGTACAATTGCTGTCATGTGATATGCTTTTACTAAGCACTTAGTGGTTGGCATTTATTATAATTTCTATTACTCTAGTTAAGATATTGGAATGATGGGCATGTCCTTTAAAAGAAAGGAGCCTTGCTTTGTTGGCACTTGATAATGCACATTTGACTGGACATATCTACAATTTAGGCTTTAGTTAGCGGTAATATAGTGCAAGAGGTGAGATACAAGGATATAGTCAAGATAAACATCACTTAATTTAATTGTTATTTCATGTGAATTGATTTGATTATAGAATATTAACATTTTTTTGTACGAGAAGTGATTTGTGAAAGGATTTTGGAAAAATAAGTATATATATCTAAACATAGTTTGTAAATTGATTTTTAATTGATATGTCGGTGTATGCTAGAAGTAATCAATCATTACTAAGATGCTAGATCTTATGTTATCTCTTATCATTTTTAGACAAGCAATTCAAAAATATTATAGGAAAGGCACCAAAGACATAACTTATCAGCTCATTATCTCTCGATTTGACACACGTTCCCTAATGTTTTTGTTGCCATGGCCTAGGATTGATTTGTACAACTCAATTAATTTGAATAATTGATGATCATACATCCAAGTTGCATGTTTTGAAATATGATTATGAAACTTGACTTTTGAACAGACCGTTGAATTGACAATCTTCGACTAATCCCTCTTTAATTTAGTACTTATATTTAATTTAGGATGAGATTTTTTTTAGACATCATTATAGAAATTTATGAGCTTGTATTGGGCTATTGGTAGGGCTTCTAATCATCAAATGTCCTAAGCCCATTTATGGTTATTTTTGGGATCTTTTTTTTTTTGTTTGAAAATAAAATATCTATGAAAATAAGGTGGGAAGGTTTAATTTTTGTAAAATTATTGTGAATATTTATCAATAAATCTTTGGATGTTACATAAGTATATATGTTTAATACTTGACCATACGAATAGGATTGCCTTTTTAATAGGAAATATCTATGAGTATTTTTCTTTAAAAAAGAAATTCATTAATCCTTTTAATTCAACTCATGATTTCACTAATTTTACTTATTAACAATCAATCAAAATCAATTGCAAATTTGGAGTTTTTTTTTTGCCTACCAAATTTGGAGATCTAAAAGTTTAAGGATTTGATAAGTTTCTTTCATAAACTGGGAATAAAGTGTAAATGAGATAATATATTCACATTGAGTCATTATAAATTTTCTAACCCTCCAGTTTAAAACGTGAATTTGATTTCTTAAAATTCTAGCTAAACTTGTCAAATTATAAAATTAACAATGACAATTAATTATGAATACTAATATGTTTACATAAACAATAAAGTTAGAGAAATAATATCCCCACATAGATGTGAAAAATATACCCAGTCTTCCACAATTTCAAAATACAAATAAAAATATATCAATATACGACTGTGCAAGTGTTGAATGTTTCAACAAACACTTATACATTCATTTTAAGCATAGAGGTTAAATACTTGAACTTAATTTACAGTAAAAATAAACATTTTCTAAACTTGATGTTTATGAATAGTTTTTCCAACTTTTTAATTGTTAAAAATTGTAAAAATATAAAATTTGGTTAACATAAACCATAAGCCATTGGATGACTTGTTTCATGCTCACGGAATGTCAACCGTCAATGGGTGGTGGGTAGGTGGGGGCAAATTAGGTGTCGTCGGCCCTTTCTTCCCCTAGCTGCTTCTATTCCGAGAAGCCGAGAACTCTCGTCTCTTCTTCTCCATCGCCAGCTTCAATTCCGATTTCCCATACTTCTCGTTCCCCAAGGCTCCTTCACACAGTCACAGAGTAACCTAGAGCTTTAGCAATCTGACAAATGGGCGTACACTCGACGGTAATGGAGGCGATAACGTGCTACACAGGCCTATCTCCTACGGCCTTCTTTACCATTCTGGTTATGATGGTTATGGTGTACCAAACGGTCTGCGGGATGTTTTTCTCCTGAAGATTACAATAAGCCCCAACCATCACCGCTCCAAACAATATTGGGTTGGATGGCGTGAACGTCGACGCTCCTGAACCGGTCCAAATGGGAGAAATGACTGATCAGGAATTGCGAACCTATAATGGCTCCGACCCCAATAAACCTATCTTAGTGTCAATCAGAAGCCAGATCTACGACGTGTCTGCTGGCAGGTACTTCCAATCTCCTTTTTACTCCCCCAACTTGATGGTTGGACTTTAGTTTTACCAGTGACTGTTTGACTAGTGGATGAAAGTTTTACGAACATGACTGAGATTGCGATAGCTAACAAGCTACAAATTGACCAAGCTTGAATACGAAACCAAGCTCGCTTTCTGGGTGGTCGATAGCCGTGTATTCTTTGATTTCGTTGTTGCTTGCCTAGTGGATGGGAAAATGAAGCAAAATATGTAAGAACTTGAATGACTAATGGGTGTCTTTGTGATTATCAAAAGCCAACGAATTGAACAAGGTTATTAGCGTATGCCAATTACTCTTATTTTCTTCCATTGCGGGATCTAGATCAGTGATCGTTCCTGCAAGTGCATGAAATCGATGAAGTTAGAAGACCTTGGGAGTATTGCAAGAGTTGAACCAAAGGAAAACAGTGATATTGTTGTTTAAAAAACAAACAAACAAAATTAAGAGAGAATCATATTGAGCAAATTATTTGAAACAATGATTAAAACCAAGAAGCAATAAATAAATGGCGATCAAATCCGTCAACAAGCGCCAGGAGTCGGGGTTTACTTATCGGGATTCCCTTACTCATGCTCAAATGAAATTCCTGAGCAACTAAAATGAGATCATTACCAAATTATCTTAATTACCCCCTAGTAGATTAAGGAGCGTTTAACTAGAGATGAATTAGCTTCTGCTATATCCGAAATCTCTAATTAAATCCATTATGCCACGACCAAAGTCACCATAAACACTTAGATTGTCCCTAACCCAGTTATTCATGTATGTTCCCCTAGGTCTAGATTCACTCTTCTCCTTATAGTGAATCGAGCAAATCCATAGGCAAAAAGGCAAGGTGGCTAACCAAACAATCCAGAATAATAATAAGGAAAACAGAAATAATTGCATTAAAAGCTGTAAATGAGTCAACTAAGAACAACAGGAATCGAAAAGAGAAAGCTCATCCTAGTCAGGATACTTTCTACCCTGATTGGAGGTTTCGAAATAATAAAACATCATAAACTCAGTCCCATGTTCATAAACAACATTAGATGAAAAGAAGAAAAAGGGAAGAGAGGTTCACCTCCCAGATCAGAACATGTGCTCTTCAACTCCATCTTCAGCCATCTCCAGCACTTATGTGTGACCAGATCCCCAAATAAGGAGCCCTAGCTCGCATTTTAAGTGTTTTCACACCCTAGCAGAGAGTTCTCCACCTAAAATCTCGTATCCCTTCATTAAAAATGCCCTACAATTCATTCAGCGTTTTAACTGATGTTTGCCATGTGTTTCTGGTCTCAACCGTAGACGGTCGTGGCCTTCACCATTGTCATCCGTGTGCGGGCAAGACATGAACAAGCTTTCTCGCCCTGGTCCCCATCCGCGAACGGGCAAACACATTCTTTGTCTCTCGACTACAAACGGTTCAGAATTGGATATTCTTGTTCCACGACCGGTTTCAACCGGAGGCGTCAGTCTCCTTCAGCCTCGTTCATCCGCGAATGGTAGAATTTTCTTCAAGCCTCCGACGGTGGACGGTGATAGTTTCTTTGGCTATATCTACCATTCGCGGTGATCCTCTTCCAACTGGCTATATCCGCAAGCGGTGATAGTTTCTTTGGGCCTGATCCGCGAACTGTGGTCCTGATTTGGGCTCTCAGTCCGTTTTGCCTTATGTTAAGCCCAATTTTTCTTTATTTTATCTTCTTTTTTCTGATTTCCATATATATATATATATATATATAAACAACAAATGAGGCAATAATGCATGATTTTTCCCAATTTAACACCATAATAAATCATTTTAAGCTCTAAATGCAACTACGACAGTGGCTTGTCAATCAACTCAGCTTCGTGCTTGCATCTCTTAAGGATAGCAGATAAATGTATAATTTGGCATGCCAGTTAACTGCTAATACAATCTTGAACTAGTGTATGCTTGACAAAATGAAAATGGGCAGAGGGCAGCTATTGACCCTTTGTTCAGCTTGATGATTATCCTAAGTTCTTGTCTATTCTAGTCCTCTGAAAATATGGGACAAAATTATTTTTCCAGTTCATTTGATTTGTATAATCTCATGAGATTACGGCATTAGGCACCGAACATATGAATTTAATTACAGTTAACTATCGTATTAAAGAAAAAGAGCAAACTCAGAGCATGGTGACTAAATCACAAGTTCTACGGGGAAGATGGTCTCGTTAAATCTTTGAAATGATGTTAGCCACCAGTCGCTATCTGCTTGCATGATCTGAGTTTGCACTAAGGTGACGTTTTGGCGTTCTTTTCTTTCTTTCTGTCTGTGTGTATGACTTTTGAATTAAAGTAGTCCATGTACTTCGGTTTATGGTGTGCTTGTAAGAGTCTGTCATGGTTTGTTTTGTAATGCTTCTAGATTCATTTGAAGATATTTCCAAACCATGTTGTATGATCATTAATTTTTTGCATGGTCATATGCAGGAATTTCTATGGACCTGGTGGACCGTACGCTATGTTTGCCGGAAAGGAATGCAGCAGAGCCCTTGCCCTCCTCTCTTTTAAACCGGAGGATATCAATGGGAATCTTGAAGGTTTGAGCGAGGAAGAGCTTGTAATTTTAGAGGATTGGGAATATAAATTCATTGAAAAATATGTGAAGGTTGGTCAACTTGTTCCTCAACAAAACACTCAGCCAAATGAGCACCGGGGAGAAATCTAAGGCAAACCTGTTGATGAATGCAAACCAGCAGAATAAAAACCATTTCATTGTCACGGGGCTTCCATTCGGTGCACTCAGTTGACACTGTAGAATATGACTGGTGTTTATTGTATAGATTGTGTTGGGTAATGACAGAAGGATTATTGTTCTTTTGAAGGCTGAGTGATGGTTTTGGACGGTGAGATATATTAAAGGGGAAATTACATCCAAGGACCACTCAAACAGACTATTCACAGAGAAGGACCAATACAAAATGTATTGTTGTTTAAATGAGAGTGTGGACTTGTTTTTTTTTTTTTTTTTGGTAATAGAACTTGTTAGTCCTTGTCTGCGGTTATTTTCCGGTTCTTAAATATGATTCTCTCTATATTATTAAATCCATTCACACGGATCCCACTCTTTATGGTTATCTCTCTCTTTTGCAAGGTCTTGTACGATAGTTGAGTGAATCAATTTCTGGATGTAAATTCTCATAATAGCTTAGCTATAATTAGTAGATTGAGATTTCTCAAATCCATGGTTGGAGGAAGCTATGCACACACGGCAAAGAGATCATTACAGTCCAACTCTTTTGCTTGAGAGAGACGGGCTTGTGAAAGCAAGACCAGTGAGATAGTAGGGTCAAATGAAGTTCATGGCTCGTGAGATGGGAAATTACTGTGTGTGTGTTTTTTTTTTTTTAATATTGGGGGAGGGGGCTGGGATTTTTATTTTTATTTTTGGTTTAATAAAAACAAAACCATGAGCAGGAAATATTTTTATCAGCCAGCCTCAAAAAAGTAGTATGACATGTAAAATCATTTTATATCTCACTATGGCCTGTGATGTGATTAACTCATGTCTTTGAAGCACTGAGAAGAGATGGCAGCTGAATATTTAACATGGCTTTTTTCTTTTTTCTCTTTATAACAATGTGCGATCAATTAATTCTCTGTGTGCATTTTTCAAATCTACGAAAACGAGCTGTAACACTTCAAAGGTTCATGTTACACAATCTGGACAATATAAAATTAAAATGTAAAAAAAAATGTATTATAATATATTACACTTAACCTAACTTAAAAGGGAATCAATTTCAATGCTCACTGTACATGTGAACACCAAAAACTCATCACCTTTGGACAGGTTGGATCTAATTTTCATTGTTCAGATTTACAACTTTTCAACAAGTATTTTTTAAGTACATTTTATAAAAATGATTATTATCTATTTTAGACTCTATATCACTAAAATATTTTTTTTAAAAAAATAAAAGTAAAAAGCTGTAAATCTGGATCATCCAAAATAAATCTGATTGTTCTAAAGGCAATGAGCTCTTGGTACTCATATGTATGATAAGTAGTGAAACTAATTTCACTTGAAAGCTTGCAGTTTGGTGTTTTTATTTATTATTTATTATATTTAATTTAATTATTATAAATTTATTTTAGCTAGTGTTTGGATTAAATATGAAACGTCGCTCAAATATGTCATAAGGCTAGCTGGGCTGGGTAATTGAAGTTTCAGGACCAATATAAACAAAAAGGGCCGGCCCTAAAGCTCAATAAAGATCACAACAAGTAAGCATGCCAAAATCCTGTCAGTTACAAGTATTAGACCGTTGGCACGAAGATACGAGCCTACATAATGCTGAAATCTACGTCCAAATAGTTCGATGAAATGGGCGAGTTATCAAAATGAAGAGACCGTGCCATGAGTTTCACGAGATTTTTGATTTTTCGATAGAACGTGTTAAGTTTCAAGGAAAAGGCATTCACTATTCTGACACTATAAATAGAAAGAGAAAATACAGAAAAAATTAGTCAACACTCCATCAAAGCTCGTACATTTTACATTCGTTAGCCCTTTTCATTTTTTAGTTTTTAGTCTGTAATCTTTTAACACTTCAATAAAATCATACACTTATTTTATCAAAGTCTTGTATCTTTTTACATTCGAGTGAACTGTGATAAAGAAACTTGAGACCCTTTTCGTTATCTATTGAGACTCAGCGTCTCTGACACACTTGATATTTGTTGTTCAACCATGAACAGATAGCATGATATTATATTTTTTACTGTTATTTTTAAAACATAGCATATATTGCCTATCATGACTCTCAATCACTTTGCCCCACTTATGTTCTTGTATTTCAGCCACCCATTCTTTTCATAGGATGCGCATTGTCATTACGTTTGATGTCAGCAATGTTTTAAAAAATCAAATTAAATAATAAACCAAAATGATTAGTGAGTCATGATTGTCATGGTTTAATTGGTTAGAATGATAGTGAAATTGATAACACAATAATTACATAAAAATAGTATTTAAATGAAACAAACGAGTCAAAACATTTTATCTGCTTTAAGACCCTGGTTGTCAAGAACCACTTAAGTAAAGCAAGCCAACTTGGATTAATTGTCAAAACAGATCAAATGGTTGAATCAAACTACTTTCTTCTTCAAACGACAGTCTAGCCGGTCTGATCATCTAGGCCGATTTGAGTTTGAAAACACTAGTTGTTACTTAACCTTCTTGCATGGTTGTTATTGTCACATTTGATGTGATGTCTGACCTTGAAAATTTGGATAATAGGGATAAATTTTTTACTCAAGATAAATTTAAATTATTTTTTAAAAAAGTAATTTTAAATATTTATTAAATTACATTATAGGTAAACATTAATTAAAATTAAATACTAAACAACAAGGCATAAAAAGGATAATTTGTTTTCCAATCTTTGAAATTTCACTTTTGTGGAGAAAGTGTATCTTGTCTTGACTCTTATTCAGTGATCAAGTTTTTTTATTCATTGTATATCATTGTTATTTCTATAATTTTTAATGAGAAAATAAAATTATTTGTACAAAATAATTTGCTGCGTTTGATTGGTAACTGGTGTTGCCATTTGTTAGTACCCATGATAGGTAATTTATTTTTTTAAAATAAAATACTAAATATTTATTTTCTCCCTAACATTTAAAATTTCAGAGAAGTTTTCTATTTAAGCTAACGTCTATCTTAACGTTACAAAATTATTATTTCTCTACAGATAACCCAGAATAACATATTAAGATACATATATTTTATGCTATTAAACATTAGATAATATTATTTTAAATAATACAACATCGCTTTATATGATGCACCAAGCTTTTTTTTAAAAAAAAATTAACACATGATATCCCGAACTCGCCTCTAAGATTTTTTTTTTTTAACTGACATTTGCTAGAGATTTATTTGATATATGGATATAGATATATCAAACATTACAAGTTTCAATTCTTTTTTAAAATTATATCGATGACCCTGCTAACTAAAGGGGTTTCCGAATTTTGTCAACGTCGATTATCCGCGCCTTCAATTTTTCTTAACAAATCTATTGGACCTTATTGAAATAGTATCATTTTTTTGGGCCAAAGAAACAGTATTGTTAATGGAATAAAAAAAAAATGGAGGAGAGTATCAATCAGGAGCCAGCTAATGGACTGATTAAACATCAAAAGACTGTCAATCAGCAATTAATGAAACCTTGAATTTCCTCCCGAGTCCCGACATCCTAAAACACACGCCGTGAAAATTACGCTGGTTCATTTGCACCGACCTTTTCTTGCCGTGTTGCCCTCCTATAAAGTATAAATTTCCGTTAACCCTGGTAAATTACTTGTCGTCCTTCCAAGAGCCGTATGTTCCTCCTTGTTCTGGTTTCTTGCCTGTCACTTCTGCTGCGAGATTTCTGAGTGTGGTATCTACTGTGGTCTTTCAAGACTGTGTGCTTAATCAATTCTTCCATATGAGTGGCGTCTTCTAAGCCCTGTCATGGTATAATGCACTAGCTCATTTTCTTCGGTACATTGTTGCTTTTTATTGGAGGATGAATTACTTTCTGCAGGCTATGCATAAATGTGTGATTTTTTTTTTTCCCTTCTTCCAGGATAATACCACTGACTCTGTCAAACCAGTGGCGGACAAGTACAATGTTGAAGCCGCCGAAATCTTGGCGAACGAGGCTCAGGTTCGACCCATTTCAAGTTCAAAATTTCCTGTCTTTGTTATAGAACCTTCACCCCCTATGTGAACAAAGAATTATTCAGTCCTCGTATTTCTCTCTTCAGAATTTACCAATTGCAGAGGCGACACCTATATACGAACAACTTCTCACATTGTTTCCGACAGCTGTGAGTGTTTTTATTTGGTGCTTCATTTATGTTCCTCAACTGTATCGGCGGAAGATTTGTTGTAGAGGTATAATTAGTAATTACTAATGCTTAACAAAGTTTGCTATTGACTCCAGGCCAAGTTTTGGAAGCAATATGTCGAGGCGTATATGGCTGTGAACAACGATGATGCAACCAAACAGATTTTTAGTCGCTGCTTGTTAATTTGTCTTCAGATTCCTCTCTGGTATGTCAATTCTTTAATCGTATTAGGCCAATGGCTGATGGAGTAAACTTACTTTCGGATCACTATAACTGGTGTCAATATGTTGTATCTCTCGTTTGCGCCTATTGTTTTGAACATTTGATATTCCATATGAATATGCTGTAAATTCCCGCTATTGGCATCTAAAATATTTGTTTTTTGGATTTTTCTTTCTTGACCCCTCCATCTCTGCCCATCCTTTAATTCTTTGGTATTGAAATGAATAGAAATAGTCTGCATGTCACCGTAAAGATGATATCTGGTTTATGCATGGATGCTGTGCTCTGACGACTTTCCACGTATACATACTTTGAAACCATATGAATATAATATCTCAGTGTTTGTCATGATCGTTAGAGGCATTCTTAAATATCCACTTTGATTGCTTTCCTTGTAAAATGGAGTGGATATCCATCTTTTTATCTCTCTCTCTCTCTCTCTTTCTACTGGTATTATGTTTGCTTTATCTCTCAACTCCTTTTTTATCTTGGCTTTGTAGGAGGTGCTACATTCGTTTCATTAGAAAGGTTAATGAGAAGAAAGGGGTAGAGGGTCAAGAAGAGACAAGAAAAGCTTTTGATTTTATGCTCAACTATGTTGGTAAATCTTTTCCCTCAATCTTATCATCCTGTATCTTATAGGTCATTGTATGATATCTGTAGTTTTACTTTTTACTGATGGAGGAATCTGAAAGGTTTCTATTTGATGTACAGGTTAACATAGAATAATTCATTGATGTAAACCTTATCGAGTTTCAGGGAGGGGCTTCTGGGGAACTGGACGTCTTGAAGTTTACTAGCCTAAAGAGAGTGTCTTAGCAATTAGCATGTTACGTTTTGGCTAAGAGGAACTTTATATATAATTTTACTTACCGATTTTATTTAAATATCCTAATTTTCTTTTATTTTGATTAAATTTTTTTGGCATCATTTTGGGGATCTGGTTATATATTTTCAATTTTTTTTTTTCAACTAGTTAAAGTCACTCTATCAAATATGTGCTTGGGGGATTGGGACTGGAAGTAGCCTTCATTTATATTTTATATGTACTACTAGCAGCCTTCTCCTGTAAGATGTATTGCTGGAAAATTTCTGGTATTTGAAGCCTTATTTATAGTTATTATTGTTTTCCTAATATAACGTCCCCTTTTTATAAAACTGCTTAAGGATATTAAGGTTTGAGAGTGTACTTGGGGAAAAGGAGGGTAAAAAGATTTGTGGTCTATATTATTCAGAATGGCAAAATGGTGTTTTTTTGCCAATAATTTGATGAATTCCAATAATACATTGACAGGAGCAGACATAGCATCTGGCCCAGTATGGATGGAGTACATATCCTTTTTAAAGTCATTGCGGGTTTGTGTAGTTGTCCCCATCTTTTGTGCAAAATAGAGATGAATGGCATAATTCATTATTAATTTTCATTTATTCTTGTTGACTTCATTTTCAGGCTCTAAACTCTCAAGAAGAATCGCACCGGATGACTGCTGTGCGGAAAGCATACCAAAAGGCCGTTGTTACTCCTACCCATCACATTGAACAGCTTTGGAAGGAATATGAAAATTTTGAAAATTCTGTTAGTCGTCAGTTGGTATGTCTTAGATTCATACTTAATGTGAAATTGTGGCTTACTTATACCCTTACTTAAGAAATATTGAAGGCACGCTGTCTGATGGTAAATGTATTTCATAGGCCAAAGGATTGATATCTGAATATCAACCAAAATATACTAGTGCTAGGGCAGTCTACAGGGAGCGGAAGAAATATGTTGATGAAATTGATTGGAATATGCTTGCTGTACCACCAACTGGATCTGCCAAGGCAATTTTCTGCATCTTTGCGCACTAATTACAAATTACCAATGATAGATGCTTCAGAATGGTTTCTTTTGTTTCAACATGCAGTCGAGTTTCTCTTGGAAACATGCAACGGGATGAAACTGTTGGAAAGAGTGCTCTAGTACAATTTGGACAGATAATGATCAAATTGCAAACTTTATTTATTTTTTAACTATTAAAATACTGCTTAGCTTCCTGATATAATTCAGCACTTGTTACAGTTGTCATTTGTGCATGAAAGAAAGCAAAACATTATTAAGCTCTGATATTTTATAGGATAAACGCGCACACATAAATAAAGTCTTGGAAGTTTTTTTTTTTTTTATTGGCCTGCTTAAGCTTCCAATTATCATGTTTTTCAGGAAATTGTGCGTGCTAGAGGTACATACATATTTCTTAAAAAGTATATTGATAAAACCAATCTTGGATCTTCAACGAACTGCTTATGCTTTTTGGTTGAAGTAGTCCTCGATATGGTGTAGAAGTCTCAAGTGATCAAGTGTTCAAGCGCTTGATTCCTGTTGCCCCCTTCTTTCCTGATGAAGATTCAAGTTTTGGCTCAATATATGATGGGCCTTTGTCTACACTTCAAACCCAATGAGATATTAGTGAAACCGATAATGGGTTTTCTCATAAAAATTTAAGCTTTTGAGTTGAAGATTCTTGACTGAATGTGTATTGAACTTTATTGTGTGATTATTTGTCATGACCAGTCGTAATTTGTTTCTTTGACAGGAAGAAGGGCAGTGGATCGCATGGAAGAGACTGTTGGCTTTTGAAAAGTGAGAATTACATTGGTCTGTCTTAGCTTTTAGTTTTACAATCCCATTACTGATCCATTGTGGGGATGAATCATACAATTGATGCCGATTATGTTTTAGCTATTTTATTTTATGTATAGTTGTGCAATTTCTTTTCTTTTTTTTTTAACCTTTTCTGTTTTGATGTAAACATGCATCTTTTTAACAAGTTGATACATCCATCAAAGATCTGGGCTGCTTGGCAAGGTAATTGGGGATTTTCTTACAAAAGGAGAGAGAATAAGTTGGTTGTAATAGTATAAAAGGCCGGCTAATTATAACTGATATGAAGGATTTACAAAGGGAAACAAGAAAAGGAAGACATGAGAGATCAAAATAGTCCATTCCTTTAAAAGTCTTTTAGGCCTATATTTTTTTTTCCCAGTTCCTTTTATAATAAAGGAAAGTAGAGAGAATAAAAAGGTAGCATAAATTACCAATTAAGCACAGCTGACAGAAAGGGCTAAAAAGGAGAAAAAAATGAAAAGAAAAACTATTAATTTTTTTTTTTTCGAGATTGCATATTCCTGCCTCTCTGCATAACCTGTTAACTTAACCCCGAAAACCATCATGAGCTTTAACGCACAAGAAAGTCAGGAATGCAACCCTAACCCTTTGAGAATGAAGAGAATCTTGTTGCTTTGCATTACGTTGTTCCCATATACTCCAAATATGGGTCACCTTTGCATTCTTCATAGCAACTTTCTTTGTATCATCTCTGTCTTGCTTTACCTCTAAACCGGGGATGAGGGAAAGGTCTATTGCCTTTTGTCTTGGTTACTTTTTAATCATTGAAGTTTCGTTGAAGGAATATTATTGATTTTTAAATGTTGTGTTTATGGACTTAGGACAACAATTTGGTTTATCTAAAATTTTCTTTAAAGAAAAAAATTCACAAAGAATCATCTTACAGCTGGGAAGTTGGGTTGCCAATATAACATATTTTTCTGTAAAAGAATCTGACAAATTATGGTGTTATGCATTTGTATGCTCTTAACCATTTAAAAAAGCTGTTAGATGAATATGATGCCTTGCCATCTTCATTTCTTTATCTTTATAGCAATTTATGCTGATCTATGCGACTAAGATTAAGTAATTGAAAATGGTTCTTATTAATCTTTCTGCATTCCAGAGGAAATCCACAGAGAATAGATTCTGTTTCCTCAAACAAGCGAATCATATTTACTTATGAGCAGGTAATATTAAATATACTTAGTTATTATAAATTTTAACCGTTCATTTTAGTTCTTCCCAACTGTAAGTTTTATTCTGATACTGTTTTTTTCAAATGTTTCATCTGAATTTTTGTGTCAGTTGTCAGTGCATCTTGATCCTGTTTAATGGATATAATTATTGCCAGCATGATCCCAGGTCCCTAATTTTGATACATCGAGGTCTCTAAGCATCCTCATTTGTTACTAGATGTTCAAATATACATCTTTAGTAGCTTTTGAACTTCAGACTTATGTTCCTAATCTTCCTTGCGTCTAAGTCGTGCTAATATAAATGGTTGGCTGCATCTTATCGACATTGTGGGGATGAAAAATATAATTGCTGCTGATTATGTTTTGAGTATTTGATTTTATGAGTACTTATGCATACTTTTTTTTTTTTCATTTCTTGTTTTGATGAAAACATGCATTTTCTTAATAAGTTGGTACATCCAGTCCTTTAAAAGTCTTTTTTAGGCCAAAAAAGTTTATTACCTGTCCTTTAATATGTTAAAGGAATTTTTTTTGGAAAAGGAGAGAATGGAAAGATAGCATAAATCACCCATTAGGCACAGATGAGAGGAAGGGCTAAAGGGGGAGGGAAGGAAAAGAAAAACAATTACTTCCTTTTTTGGGCTGAAGTAAAAAAATTAATTGAGAGATTGAATATTCCAGTTCCTTTCCATCTCTTCTGTGTTTAGTTGAGAGATTGGAATGGGAAGCCATTATCTATTGACTTGCTGTTGGTGTTGATTGAGTAAAGAAAAGAAGTTACCATTCCGTTCCTATTCCCTGGCATGTCTAGCACTCTAGCTTTGGGATATTTGTTCAATTTATGATGGCAAAGCGTTTTTAGTTTATTTCCTAAAAGAGAAACCCTCTTTGCAAGCCATTCCTCAATCCAAGTAGGATTTACTATAATACTTTCATGGTTTTTAACTCACTTGTAAACTTACGTGAAAAGCAACTTTGAGCATCTAATTCTGTTTAGGAAAGTTCACAAGAATTATTTCTTTAGTACAGATTCTGAACTGGAATTTGTTGCAATAAATGAACAAATTTATCATGACAATACTCATTATTGACCTAGTTTATAAAGAACTATGTACTTAATAGTATTTTGTCCATGGGAAGCATTTCCATTGAACTTATGGCCTATCTATCCACTGAAAGAGGAAATAAAACCCCTCTCCCTTATTGAGATGTGGTATTATCATCATCGTTAATCATGCGTTTTACTTTTATTGTTTCCTTTTATTTGTCCTTTTATTTATGGGATTGCTTACTGTGTTGTGCTGGTATTCAGTGTCTGATGTATCTGTACCATTATCCTGATATATGGTATGATTATGCGACATGGCATGCAAAAGGTGGTTCAATAGATGCTGCACTCAAAGTGTTTCAGCGGTCGCTGAAGGCTCTCCCTGGTATGTGGTCCTTTTCTTCCATTAATTTTAGTATATTTTTGAAATGCGTTTACTGTTGCCTCTATATCTCGAGCTTTTAATTGCAACCTTAAAGTTATTTTTTATAATGCAGCATTTTGCAAGGAACAAACTTTTGAATCCATGTCTTCAAAATCCAGCCCAAGAAGGAAAAAAAAATGTTTTGTGCTTTGAAATTATATGGCTATACATGTGTGGCTATGACCTGCGGAATCCAATTTTTCTGATGTCCTTAAGACTTAAAAGAGTGTCATTTTCTTTATCTTATTTGTCTTTGCCTTGTCTTCATTTGATGCCTACTGTAAAATCTACATTGGTTAAAGTTTTGTTCTTATCCTTTGGCAGAGCTTAATATTGCATTTAATTTCCCATCAATATGGTTCACAGGGAATTTTTGCTGACTTCTTTTTAGTACCTCTTTGTTGGCATTTCATTTATAAGCAGATTCGGAAATGCTACGTTATGCTTATGCAGAGCTGGAGGAATCTCGTGGTGCAATTCAGGTGTGACAAATTGTTCAACTGTTTCAATATCTGCTACCATTTTGTTCTTTTAGTTATTTAATTGTTTTTTCCTTTTTGCTCTCTCTCTTTTTTTTTTGGTTTTATGTCAGGCTGCAAAGAAAGTATATGAAAGCCTTTTGGGTGATGGTGTCAGCACAACTGCACTTGCGCATATTCAAGTATGTGAAATAGTCCGAATATGTGTTTAATGCTCATCAGAGGTGTTGGCTGGAATAGTTGGGCGGTGAATGTGTTAAATGAGGGGAGGGATGGATTTAGTGATCAGCAATTTTCTTCTGACATGTGTTATGTTTGATTCTGTAAAATTCAGGTCTGATCTTTAAGTTTGAATTATTCTGTGTTGAACTGTTTTAAATTTGCTGGAGCATCCGATTTGAATACCCTTCCATCTGATGAAAAGCTCTTTAGTTTAAATTTCATATCTAAAAGTGGTTTGCTCAGACTAGTTTAGTTGATTAGATAGCATTACATTCTTTTTTGACTAACATTTTCATTCTAGTAGAATATGTTCCATCAATGACGGGGCAAACAAATTTCCTTCCAGAAAATGTAATATGTGTGTTCCATGATGCAGTTCATTCGCTTCCTAAGAAGAACAGAAGGTGTTGAAGCAGCTCGGAAGTACTTTCTGGATGCTCGCAAATCCCCAAATTGCACTTATCATGTTTATATTGCTTATGCTATGATGACCTTTTGTCTCGATAAGGATCCAAAGGTGCCACAATTTTCTCCTTTCTTTAAGTGACAGTTACTTGAGGTGAATTCTATTTTATTTTTTCACTGTAGATAGTGGGATTATATTATCTACAGAATCATGTGCCTGGTGGTTATTTTTATTCATTCTGCTGCTCTACATTTGCAAACAATTTTGAGAGAATTATGTTGAAGCCCCACACTAGTAAATTAATTGACTTTAGTTTAGTTGTCAATGGATTTTGTAGTAATTAATTTTCTTGTGTGGGACCTGTATGTAATTCTCCCAACAATTTTTTCATGTTTAAGTGTGCATTCTTGGACATGTAGTTCTATAACCTTGAAATTATGTGTGTATGTTGAAAGAATGAGCAAGGAGCTGTCTGTTATTAATTTGCAATTGATGTTTCACAAGTGTTGATGCTGTTCTTCCCTGTCATTCTGAGAATGCATGCTCACTACCAGAGTATGTCACCACCAATACTCTTTGTGCCCTTGTTTTGTCCTTCATGGGATGCACTAAATGTAAAATTTTTCTAATTGACAAATGATAAGGCCAAAAAGATAAACTCTTGTCAAATAAATATTGAATCACTGCATGATTATTGCTCAATTCATGCAGATGGCGCACAATGTTTTTGAAGCAGGTCTAAAACGGTTCATGCATGAACCTGTTTACATTCTTGAGTGAGTTCTTCAACCAACTCAACAGCCCTTTCTCTATTGTACTTTGTTGATCACCTCTCTTATACTTAGAGGCAATTAGTTTGTTATATTATTAATGTTGTCAATTGTATCATTTAGGGATTCCCCCTCACCCTCTTCTATCTTTGTGCACGGCTTCCTAGTACCCTCCTTTCTGTTGTATGCTGTCATGCATTCTAGTTAGCCCATGCCTTAATGTTAGTTGGTTTGTTTCTTTGATTTCTTTTTGGGGTGTGACAGAACATGGAGAGTGCAGAAGACTTTTTTTGTTGGCAGCGATTGCTGTGTGATACGTGGTGCTTGTACTTGAACCATTTTTTAGGCCATCTGTACTGATGTCTTGGGTGTTAAACTGCGCAGTCTCAGAATTGTTTTCTGAAGTGTTGCAAAAATTATAGGAACATCACTGGTTTTTGTCAACATCAATGATGGATTTATTATACATGCTAGTAAATCTTGAGCTCTTACATATGGCTACCAAAATCAAACATCCAGCAACCAAACTCACTTAAAACATCCAGCAATGTTGGTGTCTGTTAATCTACTGACAAAATCAAACACCTCAAGATCCTTTGCCTCCTGTTGCTTCATGTTATTGTTGAATCTTTCTGAAAATGTATTACTATTATTGTTCTGATTTTATACAGTGATTGTTTTTCATGACAATTCAGATATGCAGATTTCTTGACACGTTTGAATGATGACCAAAATATACGGGCTCTATTTGAACGGGCTTTAAGTTCACTGCCACCTGATGAATCGGTTGAGGTATGCCACTCCTACTTATCTAGTTCTTCTGTGAAAAATGACTTACCAACAATAAACCAAGTATGTGTATATCGTGTTCCCTATCCTTATCCACACCCAAAAAAAAAAAAAAAAACCCCACAATACTGTTTCTCTTGTACTATTAGATGCTTATGTTGTGTTTTTGCCCCTTACCAGAAATAACTATTGTCCTAAATAAATGCTGTAAATGTTTACTCCATTCCAGGCCTGATTGCCAAAGAATCTAAGAATCATAGGTAATGTGGGACCTAAAAAAAAAAAAAAAACCTGCCCCTGCTGTACAATAAAATGCTCAAGTCTTGTTCCCCCCTTGTGGCATGTACTCCATTCAATGCCTAATGGGCTTTGTGTTCACCGTTTCTTTGGTGAATTGAAATGTTAGAAGAATAAGGTGTTCGATCAAAGACCTCCAAATCTTTTGATATGGAGATTCCATTGGGGAATGTATTTGAGGTTTGATGGATGTTCACTAACAATTGGGATCTTGTTAAATTACTTTTTAATGACTATTTGTATGACTATCTTCATTACATTGAAGCATGATATAGTTGATGCTGCCTGGTGGAAAGTCTTTGTTGTTGATAATTTGTTATAGGATCCAAGGATCTCGTGTTCAAGGTTCTCTCCGTTGCTTGAAATCATTCAATAGCCAAACGGATGATACTTTTGCATTTTTCTTTTTGCAATGCTTATGACATGGGAATTTATTTTTCGGAAATGCATGGCATTTTTCATGTTGTTGTTAGTTTGACGCTGTGTTCTTTTCACTTGTAATGTATGCTATTATTTAGCTCAATATGTTTATTAGATGTTGCTTACAGACTTCAATGTGAATGTAGTTGTAGTATACATGCAATTCCAATGTGTTGTCAAATATCTGCAGGTCTGGAAAAAGTTCGCCCAGTTTGAGCAAACTTATGGAGACCTTGCTAGCATGTTGAAGGTGATCACATGAGCTTTTGGGTACATAATGTATCATGTAGGCTCATCAAATTTCTACTTTCCCGCAATAGCTTTGTTTTTTCATTGTATGAAGCTGTATCGTTTTAGAGGTGAGTTGACTTTTAGGGGAATAGTATGTTTGTCAAACACTCACTACTATGATGCATTATGTGATATGAAAATAATAGAAGTCCATGTGTTTAGGTAGTTGTTGGTAGTTAAGTTGTTTTGCCCATGTTGCTTTTCTTAACATGTTCTGAATCCTATAAATATCAGGATTACTTCGTCAATTGTAGCTAGCCTGTGGACATAAGATTAATCTCTGTCTCTCTCCCTCCCCCTTCTGATTCCCTCTCAGTCTCTTCCTTCCTCCTCAATTCTGTTCTATTCTGCTTTTCTGTTCTACTATCTCTTCTATTTTTCATATCATTATGACTGTGTAAGGAAACAGCTGGTGATCACCTGAAGCTGATTTTTTAACAGAGTCCAATAGCATTATACTTCCTTCTCGTGATCCATGTATTTAAAGCTAAGTTTTTTCCCTAGATACTCTGCAATGATAGTTGGAAACAAGATCTTGTGGGATGGCAAGAAAATGTAAACTGGTTACTATCCGCTTTGATTAACTAGATATTTTGTCATTTCCTTTGTTATCCAATACATCTCTATTTTGTTTCCCTGCTACGGAGGCTGTGTAGCTCTCTGAGAATTTTCTTGATTTGCATATGAATATCATACATAGGTTGAGCAAAGAAGAAAAGAAGCACTTTCTGGAACAGGTGAAGATGGAACATCAGCATTGGAGAGCTCTCTGCAGGATGTTGTATCACGGTATAGTTTCATGGAGCTTTGGCCAGGCTCATCTAAGGATCTTGATCATTTAGCTCGGGAGGAGGTACTAGCTTTTTTTCTCTTCTTTTCTTTTCTTTTCTTTTCTTTTTTTAATTTGGCTCCTAAACTTTTTTCCCTCATAAAAGCTGAAAATGTATTGTAGAGTCTATTGTGTGTCTTATTAGCATCTGCCCTTGAGCATCCATGAAACTCATTTTATATTTACCTGAATTCTCCCAAATGGGAGAAAACAGAAAAGTCCTTGGCATCAACATTGGCAACTTCGCTTCTAACTATAATCATTGGCAAGGCAAGGTTCTGGAATAAGGTCATACTTTGGATTTTACCAATTTTGGAAGAGTTTTGACATATTAACATCTGTCATCTGATTGGTAATTTTCCCCCCTCGTGTGGTTTACTTGGAGTGACATCAATTGAGTGGCTAAATTAATGAATCAAGTAGAATTCAGGTTATAGTTCCAATTTTGTTCCACTTTGAGGCAGTCAGAATTTAATTAGACCATTATTTGTAAATGACTAGTTTCTTTAACTGCTCTTTTGGGCATACACTAGATTTAATTTTGAAATGTCGGATCTTATTAGTGTTACAAATCTACTGCAAAGTTTTAGAAAAAGGGATGCTTAGATTAGCTTTGTTTATTCCATTGAAATGGAAGAGTTTTATATGAACAATGCCAACAAGTCTGCCCGTAGAACCTCATAAAATGGTCAAAGAAAATAAGCTACATTAAAATAGGCGATGAAAAGGAAGCCAAATGGCAGAAAACCAAGTGGCTAAGAATCTGGAGTTTAATCAGTAATGATAACAGTAATTGTCTGCAGATTTGATGCGGTCATCATAATAAGTAATAACAAACATCTACAATTATTCATGACTCAATGCAGGGAATATAATAATGAAATATATGGCCATCAGGATTTAGAAATGATATTATTCATATCATGGTAAAGATGAATCTTGATTCTTATAATAATAGCATTTCAATATTTTCAGTACTGGTCAAAGTGCTATTTACAATAATTTTTCAGTCAAATCTTTTTACGAACAGTTACTCATGAAAAGGTTTCTATAGACAACATTATGTTTAGATTGGTGAGAATTATTCCTTTTCTCATGTTTTTTGTCTGTAAATTGTCCTATGTAGTAATTCACTGTTCATTTCTACCTCTTTAGTGGCTTTCAAAAAATATCAATAAGAAAGTGGAGAAGTCGCTTCTGCCTAATGGAACCAGCCTTTTAGGTACGCGTCTTATAAATTTTATTTACAAGACTGACTTCTCATTATGCCTTCTTATGTGGGAAGTGATGCACTGTTGGTGCAGACAAGGTTTCTACGGGCATGACAAACATTTCAGCTATGTCAACAAAGGTTGTTTATCCTGATACTTCAAAGATGATGATCTATGATCCCACACTCAACCCTGGTATGCAGCCCATGCTGTTTGAAATTTGAATAACAATTACTGATGCTGATGTTTTAACTTTTAACATGTGTTATTTGACAATACTTTCTCCTTTCGAACTAACTACCTTTTTCACACGTTATTCATTTTAGATAGTTGATTTAATCTCTCAATTATCTCATTTATTATTCCTATCTTTTATTTTCTTTCCTACTTTATCATAATACCCCAGACGGAATTGTGCAAACGAGAGGAACAGAAACGGGACAACACATTACACCACCATGTAAAAAGCCATGATTCAGAGAATAAAGACTCAAATACTTTTGACGCCATACACTATATTACAATGCTTTTTCTCTCTTTTCGTGATGTCATATGATATTTTATTTCCCCTTAGATGTACAGTATGAAGACCTGAAAACAAGAAAGTTGATCTTATTTTTCTAGTGTATTTGTGAAGTTACATTCAGACGTGTCCTATATGTCTGCTTACAGCGGCAGCTTATTTTTGAACCATTTATGTAGGCTGCTGAATTACGCATCAAGTGTCTACTATATATAATGTATAATAGAATAGGAGGGAGAGGGAGAGGGGAATTATACACAAACAAACAGATGACAGTTACATCAATTCGCCAAATATTAATAATATTAATATTTTTATTGAAGTACGTAAGATTCCTAGATGGCCATCTAAGTTCTGAGCAATGCTTATGCCTGTTCCTCTAGGATGGAAAATGCTGAACTGGAACCCAATAACCTTATTCTTTGAAAGAAGTTAAATTTCTTAGGAAAATCCCGAACAATTACAAAGTAATTCTCTACTTATGATTATTTTTCCAATTCACGGAGAAATGATATGATTGCATTATGCTCCCTACTTAATGCTCTTGAACTTGTGATTCCCACTTCATGTTCTGATATTTATGTTTTAGAATAAGGGGGAGGGTCATTCTGCTATGTTTTAATGTGTGGAATTTTCACTGGATGCATTCTTTATAATTTATATACAGGCTTAAAGATTAGGTATTATGTTGGGGGTTTTCCATACGATATTGTTAAACTAAATACATTTGTAAATATTTCTGAGGGTTGGACTTTTATGTTAACTATAGCAGTCATACATTGTGAGCTCCTAGATTTTTCCTTGCTGTTTTTGCCACATCTGCACCAATGGCATGTTGATGAACCCATAGCTTTTGGGCCCAGAATGTTAATGGTTTATGCCACGAGATTAAAGACAGAGTACAGGGAGCAATGGTTGCATTATATGTTAGTGTGGAGGAAGAAAGAGGGAATTGGGTGCTGTAATTGCCCCAAGGGATGTAAGTATAAGTGGGGTGATCTGGAAGGGAGGGGAGGGGTCTAAAAGGGGGTTAGAGGTTGGTGGCCCGCCCCCAGGGAGAAGGGGTTAGGGAAGAATTTGGCTGATGTGTGAGAAGTGAGTCCGAGCAAAAGTTGGGGGGCATTTTATTTTCCTTTCTAGCTTCCTTAATTTTGCTTGAGTTGTGGGTCCAAATCATCATTTCTTCCTTTGAATACGATAGGATTCTATCTTATATCAGTTCAATAGAAGAACATTTTAGTGTCATTTTAGTTCTACCACATGTAGTACTAATTTAAAAAAACAAAAAAAGGCATTACTAGAAGGGCAGTGCTGGTTAAAAGGGATTATTTGTTTTATGCATTGTTTCAAATATCAAGGTTCAGGAGAGGTGAAGTTTTCTTTTGGTAATTGCTTTACTTCGGTTGATTGATGAACAATAGGAATGCTATTGCTTGTTCATTTTTCCCAAGCACAACGACACCTAGAGTTTCTGTTTCTTCTGTGACGTCGTTTAATTGGATGACTACAATAACAGGTGCAGGGACAAATGCTTTTGATGAAATCCTCAAAGCTACACCACCTGCTTTAATAGCATTTTTATCAAATCTTCCTGCAGTTGATGGTAATTTTCCACATTACATGACCTGTGATATAAGTAGGCATTTATTCAATAATGTTTCTCTCTTTTTCTTTTTCTGTTTTTTTTTTTTTTTTTTTTTAAGCAATGGGTTTGAGAACATAGCAGGAGTGAATTTCGGTTTTGTTGGTGAAGGCACATTTCTTTGCTTCTCTTTTCTCTTTCTCTCCTTTCTTTAGCACTTGTTCTATTTTCCCCCTTCAATGTCTTCTTTTCTAGATTTATTGTGCCAAGCTTGAAGAAGACACACCATATTTGTGGTTATGGTAACCACGGAAACTTGAGTTGTCTTGCTCTTGTTTGTTTTGTGCTATTTGCTGCTTGTGTCCACCATTTTTGTTGCCTCTGATATTTGGAAGACATTTGGATTCCTGAGGAATTTGATGGATCTGGGAATTGTTGATTACAAGGCAAACTTTTTTACCTATCGGACTACTAGGAATAAACTTCTTGTTTTATCGTGTGCATGTGGGTTATCCTCATCACCGCGTACTGAAATGTGTTGTCAAAATGACAGGTCCTACACCAAATGTCGATATTGTGTTATCAATTTGCTTGCAGAGTGACTTACCAACAGCACAGAGCGGGAAGACGGGGACGCCAGCACATTTGCCAACAGGTCCTGCACCTTCTACAAGTGAAATTTCTGGTTCAAGCAAGTCACACCCCATGCCAAGTGGTTCATCTTTGAAACCAGCCAATAGAAGACAACATGGGAAGAGGAAGGAATTAGACAGTATGTGCACCATCCATGCTGACTAAACTGCTTGCCATTTTTCTTTGAAATGATAATATTGCAATTTTGCTCGGGAATGTTCTGCATAAATCTCATCCTTGGTACCTCTTAAGATATTTCTGCCATAAAAATTATATTTTGGTGGTCAAATATGTAACTGGAGGGCCAACCGATGATTCGTTCCTCAGTCATGTTAGTCACTGAGGAATGAACTTTTATATCTACCACTTTGCTTTGCTACCAAAGTATGGATTAAGTTTACTTCAGATTCTATGTTGAAGCTGAGCCAGCGTGAAATCTAAGTCTAAATCGATTATATTTACAACTCATCAATTTTTAATTATCAGGTATCGGAGATTCCTGAAATGGAATGCCATTTACCTCTACTGGCTTATGATTTTATTTATACTTGAACGGCCCTCTTTATAGTTTATATGGAGCTGCATTTGCACTTCGGATTGTTCATTTCTGTCTGATGTGTCATGTGCATACTTATGTCCTTAGTATTTGAGATTATCAATTGCTTCTTTCGAATTTAATCCTTTTCATCATCATATATGCATCAATGTAGGGATTTTCTTGTTTTAGTTCAAAGGTTCATTATTTTCCCTTTTGAAGATTTTTAAATATAATGTCCAGGGCAAGAGGATGATGATACAACAACTGTCCAAAGCCAACCACCCCCTCAAGATGCTTTTCGGATTCGACAGTTCCAGAAAGCTAGAGCCAGTAGCACTTCACAAACAGGATCAGTCTCCTATGGAAGTGCGTTTTCTGGTGATTTGTCTGGTAGCACCAGCTGAAACTTTTTTAAAAAAAAATGGGAGAAGAATTTATACTGGAAAGAAAAGAAGTTCAAAATTTGGAAGTCAAATGTTTGTTACTCCCATGTCTAGAGGAAAATTACCAACACTGATCTGAAGTTCATCGCAATTTTTGGTTTAACAGAGTAGGGGAGGCCTGGAGGTGAGAGGGAAAATAATTATATATAATTAGCGTACCCTTTGTCTACTTACCCCCCCTCCTTTCCTTCTATGTGAATGTTTAAATAATATATTATTATAAATCATTAGTATATATGATTATATAATAAAGCTGTTTTCTCCTTTTCTGTATGAAAATAATTAATGTAAACAATTATAATGTATAATTGAATTGTTCATGGAATTTGGTGCACCAACTCAATTTAAAAGTGTGTTTTCACCAAACTAAAAACAAAGGAAGTGCGTGTAATGCGATTACATATTATGTGAATTTGAATCAAATCACTCGCCAAGTTCAACGCCGCAGCAGGATGGCATGAACATTATTTGAGATTAATCAGTTTGTCACGTTACAACACTGGACTGATAATGTGTTGGAATATTAATATTATCAAAGGAATGTTTGCTTAGATTTTATGGGGTTTTTTTCCTCATTGTAAGTAATTTCAAGCAAAGCAATCTCTTGCACAAATTTTAAAGAGCATTCAAATCATTTTTATGAGAAATTGAGAAATTCTTTTTGATCACGTTACAAATAAGTCAATTGTTGTGTTGACTGTCTAGTTCAAATGACTTTCAGAGATTATTTTATATTACTTTTTATGATAGATCACCACTGAATAAAGTCTTATAATTTTGACATAATTTGAGTTTAGTCTCTTGCACGGTTTTTACTGTGGTTATGTATTTAAAAAAATAAAAAACCACTGACTAACAAATCATTATCATAACAGAAAAAAGCCTGTACGTCATATCAGTATTGGGATGACACTTGTCTTCATTGAGGAGCTCGACCCATTTGCCACCCAACTTCTTGCCAGATTCTTCGCCCATTATTGAGCTGTTAAACTAATCTCATGGACGTCTACGTCGGTATCAAAATTTCTGATATTGTCCCTTTTTCCTAACAAGTTTTGGAATCCAAAATTATGCTTTCAACCAAATACATTATATCATGCATTATTTATGAATAACACCATTCAATATAAATTTCATGTTATATATCAAGGGTAAGACTTGTACACTTAGTGTCATATATTTAATATATTTTTATCAAATTAAAGTGAATTTTAATATGTTGATAGTATTAATAACAAAAAATTATTATAAAATAATAATTATAAATAAATTCACATGTCTTGATTTAATTAAAAACAAATACATTAAATATTTAAGTTTAAAGATCTAGTCTTCTATAGTCATGATTTAAAACTCTTTCCAGTCTCTCTATTATTTCCGTTTCTAAAACATGTAAAAAAAAAAAACAGAAAAAGATGCAATCTCAGTCCAAATGCTTCAAGAAAGAGATTATCTTCACCCTCACACGAACAAGAGATGGTTTATCATATCTACACTGGTTTATTTCTATCACGCCAGACCTTTGATCATAGAGGCCATTGAAATAAAACGCAGCTAATACGTTTGAAATTACCAATTTGTTTTAACGATCTGTAATTGATGAGAGATTTCCCCCCTCCCTCACCGATACCCATAGGCCACAAGATGTTCTGTGGTGGCCTTTAGTTTGGGAAGCTTGACCCTTGGTGGTTCAATGGCAGCATAAGAGCCTCGCGGACAGAACACTATGTACACCGAGGCATCATGACCAAGTTCGAGATCATACACACGTTGTCCTGCACCATATTCCCCAAGAAGTTGGTAAGATCTTTCTGATTGATCCATTGTTACACACATATCATCACCACCTGATCACATTCACACAACAACACATCATTTTCATTAACCTGAAGATACAAATCTGCTAATTATCATGGCATGTCAAGCTTGTTTAGAGTGAATTTACTCACAAGCAGCTAATTCTATCTGTGTCTGGAATATAAAATCCAGAACAGCAGAAATGTCTTTCTCAAACTGATGAAACGGCCCGGTCTGAAACTCCATTTTTCTTAGCTTACAAAGGCCCTCTCCTAACTCCATCATTGCTCCTCTGTGGTTCTAACCAGCCAATTCACGCACAGTTCTCAAATCAAAACTCAAGCCCAATCTAAATCGAACGGAAATGAAAAACAAAGAGGAATTTTTCGTGAGCAATGTAAAAACCTGGTTGACGAGGTGATGAAATCCTACAGCACATTGCAGAATACCATGAATCAGAGTTTTGGTAGGGTCTTCAGCTTCGTGCCATAGAGCTTCCAGATAGTCATGGCATGTGTAGTAATCTCCGCCGTTGAATAGAGCAACTGCTTCGTCAAAGCTGTGATCTTCAGCGTCCTCTTCATCATCATCATCATCTTCATCCATGAAATACCTGCAAGAAACAGAGAAGAGCTTGGAGTTTCTGCTTCCGTGGTTCAGGCGCAGCTTGAATGGAGTCAGTGAGCTGAAAGATCGTGAAGAAAAAGAAATGGGGTTGTCAAGAGGACGTAGAAGAAATTGAAGACAGCGTTTAGAGGAGATATGGGAAATGGAAGGAAGAAGAGCCATAGATGATGATTGGGGTGGGATCTTTCTTTCCCTTGGCCATATTTTCTTTTGCTGTTTGTGTGGTGGTGGTGGAAATTCGTGGCAGCTAGGAAAATCTTGTGCTTTTGCACGTTTTTCAAGATTCATTCATGTACGGCTCTTTCTACATTTGGTTAGACTCTATAAATTCATGATATTTCTTGGTACAAATTTGAAACAAAGAGTGAACTATAAAATTGCTCATTTGGTCGAACGGGCATGTTCTGTCGGTTTTCGTACGGAACCGTTACAGAACTGCTCCGAGAGTGCTTTCACCTCACTCGTCGCTTGTATCTTCTTCTCCTTCTTCTCTCTCTCTCTCTCTCTCTCTCTCTCTCTCTCTCTTATTTTGTGGTTTCGGTCAAATTAAAAAGTTGAGAGAATTTCAGCAACTAGCTTGTGAAATAATAATAAAGAAGGACTATTAAAACATCAAATTTCAATCCAATTTAAGAGAATTGAAATAAAATTAACTTAAATGAGAAAAGCACAAAAATAGCCTTTACATAAACATTAAAAAATAACTGTAAAATTTACACTTCCTTCGTTAAAAAATGTAAAACATTTTTAATCGAATCTCATTTTTCAATAAAATAGTTACTTACTTTTAAACTAACTTTATCTTTTTATATTTACTCTTATTAAACAGCTTATAATAAATATCAATACGGGCAGTTTTGAAAAAAGATAATGATTATATCTCTAAAAATTAAAAATATCTTATATTTTTAAATTTCTAACTCCTCAAAAAATACATTACATTTTTAAACGGAGAGAGTATGTAATATTTGAAAATTAACAATTAAAATTGAAAAATTAATAACTAAAGTTGCTTAATAAAATACATGTTCAATTAACTTATTTGAATTTATAAAGCAGCATAAGTTGTTAATTTTTTAATTTTACTTGTTAATTTTTTCATATTACTTGTAAATTATTTTACTTGACTTGATAATCATTAATTTGTTCAATCAATTTATTTGAACTTATGAAGCAACATCAGTTATTAATATTACAACTTTACTTGTTAATTTTTCAATATCATTTATAAATAATTTTACTTGACTTTTAATCCTTAAAAAATGAGAAGACTTGTTTAATCAGTTTATTTAAATTTATGAAGCAATTTTAGTTATAAATTTCCCAACATTACATGTAAATCTGACAATTACGTTTTAATATTTAAATTGATGCTATTTTGATCTTTTTATTATCTAAATTAATTTTATTTTAATCCTCTTGAACTGAATTTAAATTTTAATGGACCTTCTTTATTATTATGTCACATACTTTGTTTTTTGTTGAAATTCTCCCCAAAAAGTTTGAAGTCTCATTGTTCATATATAAGAAGGTATCCAAATTCAAAATTTTATGATTAAAAGAAAGACTCATTTTAGAACAGTTTCGCGATGTGCACGTTTTTTATATGCTTTTTTTAAAAAAATAGATGAATATAACTATAAATTATCCAATCCAATATCCTATTATATACCATCAAGCACATGATAACAATAATATCATCTTATACAATAATATATTTCATGCACGTAGCAAACACATGATATAATAATCGTAGAATTACTGTAAACCCACACTCAACATAATTAATTACTTTTAAGTCTATTAATAACTAAACTTAAGATAATGACAATACAATATTAAAATGGGAGGATCATATTCAATGATTTTTCAAGAAAATTATTAACAGAAAATTATCAATATAAAATCGTTTGTTGTTAAAATAGTAACAAAAATTTATTTTTTTCATCTAACAGTGACTTATTTTGATCTTAAATAATTCTTTTAAAAAATCCTTCAATGCAATTCTCCCTGTAAAATTTAAAGCTTTATCATGTCGGCTCCTATCTTAGTAAATCTTATACTATTATATCTTATATTCTACTTTGGCCATTTAAAAAAAAAAAAGATCTTATATTTTACAGTGCAGTCCCTTAACATGTGAAAGTTAAAATCAAGCTATAATTCAAACAAATAAAATACTTTGGCCAATGACTTTCTATCACTAAAATATAATTATATACTCTTTTTGTCTTAAATTATAAGACACAGCATCCCAAATTAAAAGACCTGTTTTAAAAAAATTTGACATTCTAAAATATAATACACTTTAACAAAAGTAAAAATTTATTAATGATTCTTTTCCAATATCATCATTACAATTATATTCTTTTTCTTTGATATTATGAAGAAATGGAGCAATAAATGAAAATCATTTTTAAAAATTTATATTTTTATTTTAAAAAAATAAAGTCGTAAAGTATATTTAATGAGCTTTATTGATATATGTAATTTTATTTTAAAATATCTTATAATTTAAAATAGACGGAGTGTAATAATCATACAAGTCTTACTTAAAAATATGAGCAACTAAGACAGTTGAACCAATAAAACAAGAGGAATGCTAGAATCACAAATTTATACTCCCCATTAAAAAAAAAAAAGGTTTCCACGTCATTGATTTATGACAAAATGTTACTTTCTCCTGCTCAAAAAATAAACAGTTTTTAACTTGCAAACTAATAAAGTCCCCATTTTTATAAAAATATATATTATTTTTTTTACCTTTAGTTTCAATTATCTTTCAATTATCAATGCACTTCATGATCACGAGCAGTGGAAAATAAATTTACACAAAGATTTAAGTTAACAAAGACAAGGGATAAAATAAGAAAAAATTTTACATACACTAAATTACTTATATTGTGAATTAAGATTAGTCGTGAGAAAATGCTTATATCTCAAACTAGCCAAAGCTTTATGCATTTCACGGGAGGGATTTAGCAGGCGCTAATCTGCTCAGGAACAGAAGCAAACATATAATAAGCAACAAAGCATCTGTTCCTAGTCAATGAACAACTACTAGGTGACAGAACATATGAGTACATGCTATTGAATTTTATGACAATATTTGTTATTAGCCAGAAACAATATGAGGCATATATACATTTTATTTTACAAGGGGCATAACAGACTGGCTCATCTGCTCAAGAACAGAAGAAACCATATCGTAAGCAACACATCATCCGTTCCTAGTCAATGAACAGTTGCAGTGTAAACATTGACAATGAAAAAGTACAAGAATTACCAGATAAAAAGAATACCTGCTTGATTGGATAGAAAAAGGGTATAACCATGTCTTTCTCCAGAGCATATGTCAGCCCACCTGATCAAGAGCTATACATAAACTGTCTAGAGGCAGGCAATAAAGCAGTGCATGTTACCTGGATGGTTAATGGTGACCCACCACCCACTTCTTCCCAAATCAATCCACCTCTGATGAGCTTGATTGCGTAAAACCACAAAGACAGTTCTTCATGGTCTCTCGAGAGTTCAGACAGACCTTCCCTAAATGTCAAATGGAATGGACCCTCACATACATTCCCATTCATTTCTGGCTCATATTTGACGTCAGATGGGACTTGCTTCTTTCCCAATCGCTTGAATCAACACCACCAAACCTGCCACGCGCGATCACATTAAGGGAAATAAAGGTTACTTTGAAAATAAGGAAAAGAAAGTAGAAATGGTCAATCTAGTAGATCTTGAGCAAGGATGCAATCCATCAGGGGTAAAAAAGAGATTCAATCCAAGCACTTATTAGAACTCCTGATTGATTTGCAGTCATACTAGACGTATGAGGCATGCAATGAGAAGCCAACATGGACTTCGCATTTAGTGGTGTTTCGCAGCTTCATAAGGCATATGCCTCACTCTTTCTAAGTGATGCTTCACACATTAAGATAAGCCAACACATGGAAGAGCCTTAACATGTTTGCAATATACGTATATATCATTAGGAAATCCTGTATCTCTTTGCATATCCTATTATCCTTTTCAAAAGCAGCTGACATGAGTACTTTTTATCTGAATTGAAAAACGCGCATTTCGTAGCAAGCAGGTATCTTCTGCTTTAATCTTATAAGTTGAGCATGGTGTCTGCTCACCTAAGCTACTGTAACGCACATAACTCACAAGAAATTAAACTTTGTCACAATGATTGATCTCTTGACAGAAATTGCTGGTAAGAAATGGTCATGTACCGTGATGCAACCAAAATATGAATTGCCACATGTAACTGACTATTCTGTCATTCTATCCAAAAGGATATGTCATAGTTTATTAGGGATGATGTATTTTAAATTCAATGACTTTTGTTGTTTACTTATAATGCATAGAGAAGGCATATGTCTAAGGCCAATCATAAATTGGAAGTTTGTTTCATAGAATGGGGAGGGAAAAGGACAGGTGGGGAAGAATAAGCAATTTTTACTGCTTTATGATTGATGACAGGACAAGTTGGCACATTAGGATACATAGACCTGAACTCGTATATATCAGCATATGCAGAAGTAATTTCAGAAGATATAGCTCCACTATTCAGTTCCGTCTTCGGCTTTGCCAGTTACAGATGTATTATTAATTAATCTATCACGAAAGAGCAAACAAAATGGAAAGAACAACAGTGATGAAGACCTTTCATGGGAACCTGATTTCTCCCAAGTCTCCTGCTCTGAGAGATAGAGATGCTTCTTTCTCTTCTTATCTGAGGCCCGATGAGGCAATTGGTTGCCAACGACATCTCACCATCGGCCTTGGTGGATGTAGAGCTCTTGATGATTCTGAGCTCAGTATATTCGATGCCCACAAGTACTTCAACGAAGCGACCAACAATGACACGCAAAAGGTAGGCATTAGCAACAACAATAGAGTATCTCCACTGGTTCATTTGAATGTCGAACACAATCCAGAGCAGGGTGATATTATTACAGAGCCCAGACGATACTCCTCTGCTTCATCTTTTGATGGCTATTCTAACATCAGGAATTACAGGGCTCGTTCTTTCCATGCTGCAACTCCAACAGCCTCTTCAGAAGCTAGTTGGAATAGCCAAACTGGTTTGCTCTCTCACCCTCCAGGAGCTATTTCAGTCTCTATGAGGAATCCTCCTCATCCCACTGATCCCAACAGGAAGTTCAGAGATTCATTGTGCAAACCAATATGGCTTTTTCGAAGAAAATGTCCTTGCTCCGGTAAGAAATCCGTAGAAGTGAAGGAAAATACATTAGAACACAAAACTCAAGTGCCCCAAACAATACCGCCGCCACCGCCACGTTTATCACACAGCCAAATGACCAGAGATTCTCTGAACCTCAAAAGGCATGACCTTGATGGCTCCAATCTCGAAACCCCAATAGACAAGTTTACAATGAATATGGAGAAGGTCACAGCAGCAGCTAATAATCCTGAAACCCAAAAGATTCCAATTCCCATCATACGCAGCAGCAACTGGGTCGACCAAAGACCATTGGATCAGGAAATGATCGTCGCCAAGTCTCAGAGGTACCAATCAGCTGGAACTCGAGTTCCTGCAATTTTGCAGCCTCAAAGATTTCTTGCCTCCGCCAGACCCTTCACTGATGGCTTCACTTTCCCTGTATTGAAACCACAGTCAGAAATGCCCGCCACAGAACTACAGAACGTGAATGAGGTCGATGAAGATCCACCACGGGAATCCTTGGAAGTTTTCCGACCCGCAGACATCGAACTCGACTCTGTTTCACGAAAGGCCGACGACAGAGGCCGCCAGAATTTCCCATTCCCCCCAAGCCCCAAGTCCCCCGAATCATCGATGACGACGTAGCAAGCGACGCAAGCTCCGATCTATTCGAAATAGAGAGCTTCTCCACCCAAACCACATCGACATGCCCTATCATGTATCGGCGAAGAGACTCCCCCGACGATGTTACCAGCTTCGACGTAAAACGATCAGGCACCAACAACCACCACGGCTACTTGTGCGGCAGGCGAAGCATGGATTCAACAACACCCACAATAACCGAGTGCTACGAGCCGAGCGAGGCCAGCATCGACTGGAGCGTGACGACAGCAGAAGGTTTCGACAGAGCAAGCGCCGTCAACTTCTCGGCGAGCGCATCAGAAATAGCGGACGACGCAAGCATCGTGCACGGCGGTGGGGAACTTCACACGGCAGAGAAATGGAAACGGAAAGGGTCATCGGGAAACGGGATGTCGCTGCTGAGCTGTCGGAGCGAGAAGGCGGTGAGCGTAGGGCCAAAGCCGATGAAGGCTGTGAAGGCAGGAGAGGGACAGAAATGGGCCACCAAGTGTATAGCGTCGTCGAGGCATGAGCATGTGAGTAGTAGGGTCGGCACTGTAAATAACGCACCGCATGGAAGCTCTCACACAGCTCGCGTGTCTCTTCCCTACGCAACATAGCCATTTGATAGATGGGGTCATATTGCGATCTGCTTCTTGTCTGCAGCGAAATGCAGTGCATTGTTATGGCTCTCGCTTGCAGACACATCCATTTCAATAATTGTGTAACTCTCGTTCCATTATTTGCTTCTCATGATAATTCGCTTATTTCGGTGTTCACTTCATCGTGTCAATAAATTCAGACTACAATGTTGCGAGTAACTGGAACCTGAGTTTTGACTTCTGTGCTCTCGCGTGAAATTTGATACAAGACTACAAGGTTACACTATTCGTAATACAAGCGCTTCGGCGTTTGTTCTGGTAATTTGCTTATTTCTAATGGGTATTTACAGTTCATGCCATCGACTGGGACACTAGAATTACCAGCCGTGACAGAAATATAATAAAAAAAAATTTTAAACTCCCTTACCATCATTTACCTAAATAAAAGAGTTAAAATAATAAGTATTTGATTAATATTAAAGGCAAATTACAAAGTAATAAAGTTTACAAGGTTAAAATAAACTAAAAATTATCTAAAAACTTTAAGAACTATGAGTGTAAAAAATTTCAGTATTTGAACATTGTTGTTTAGATCCTTCTTTGTGACTTTTTTTATAATGGTTTAGTTGAGATGGTTGTTTTTACAGAATCAAAAACTCATTCGCAAAATATTAAAAACTCAATATGCACGGTCCGCAAGATTTATGACACGGCCTTTCTATTCATAATGTATTCCATTGTTAATAGCAAATCTATGCCTCTGAGACATTTGTAAATAATGTTCATGATTTTATGAGATTCAAGAGATGTTGAAGTTATGATTTTTTGTATCACAACGGTTAAAGCTGTGGTTTCAAGCTTTAAAGGACTCAAAATCCCATACTTATTTGATCAAGTTATTTGAACTAACTTTATTGTTAAATCATTTATTAGGTCTTCCTCTGTAGTTATTGAACCCATTTCATGTCATAGTTATTATAAGCTACGTTTCAGTTTTAATCTAAACATTTCATATTGTATAATATGAGATGGTATTTTTTTTTTTGGGCTATAAATAAGATGGTATTTAGAATGATTGGTTTCCATTATGGAAACATGGGTTAATATTTATAGATTAACAGATGCTCGGAATTGCATGACTTGGGCGTTAGATAAATTCAATATCTTAGACAATAGATTTTCTGCACAAACATTACCGTAAGTCTTGTCACTCGTGCTTGGCAAAAAATAAATAAATAAATAAATAAAAGTCTTGTCACTCGTGTGTTGTGTCTCTCAGCTTATGTGCCAATCAGGCAATCACCGATTTAATTTAGGCATGCGAGTGACGTGATAGGATAAGAAATTTAAGCATTTACTAACACGAGCAGGGGACTTCATCTGAACGAATGCACCTGAGCGAGATCTCATGAAGATCTTATTATTATCCGATTAGCCTCCCGTTATTATTTGATTTCACTTCTTTTTTACTTGAGCAGCGAGATTCAACTTTTGCCAATCATGCAATACGTAACTGTCAAAGCAGCCATATCAATCACAAGATTTAAATCGTTAGGTTTGGTAGCTAAGCTAAGTTAATTCAAATACCTCACATCATAAAATAACAATTATCCAATTTAATTAAATAATTATACAAAATTTTATTATGTAATATTTAAAAAATATTTAATCTTAAATTTTTGAAAAGACAGTATATGTAAGGAATGTTTTGATTATAATTTTTTTTAAATTTTTTAAAACAATATATTTTAAAATTCAATAATTATAATTGAATTATTAAAATATTTATTGAATAAATGGACTTTGGTTACCCACCCAATCTATATGACAACTAATAAGAAGCAAAACATAAAGAAAAAGAAAAAGGATCATGCTCTTCCCCCCTTTATCCAATTGGGCATCATATAGTGATTGCATAAAGATTTAATTTGACTTTCTTAAATACAAATGTGTGTGGATAATACAATTTGTAAAAATAATTGCTTATTTTATTAATTTTAATATGAGATATATTTATATAAGAGAAAATGATTTATCAAAATCTATCAATTAATAAAATCAAGATCTATCAAAGATATATTAGAAAAAAATAGTTATAAATACCCTAACTATATAAAATAATATACACAATCAAAAATCTAACATTACCCTATATTACCCTCCACAAGTTGGAGAATGTAAATCATGTAAAGTTGCCCATATTAAACTAATATATAACCTCAATCACCAAGGTAATTTTGGGATTAACTCAAATGAATTACCGTATCATATAAAATCTTTAATCAAAATAATAAAAGTGAAACCCCAAGTCTTATAACGTTGAAAGCACATCTAACATCCATTTCTTAAACATAAATTAGAGTATAAGATGAGGAGGCATGGGGTACCAATATTTGTATAAAACATCTGAAATTGGGTTGAAAATAGAAATTTAACACAAAAAGGAGAGGTGCATCACGGCATGTTGCACACGCACCATAGCCTCCCTTCTTTATGCCATGTATTACAGCGCATTGCACAGAACAACAACTTTATTTCTATCAATTTAACAACAATAGGGATGAACTTCTATTACACCCCATTTCTTCTATCAATATTCAATTGAAGTGATCTAGATGTTTAAAGAAAACTATTTTAAAGCTATAATTAATGACATTGGTTTCACTTACAAATCATTTATTAATTAAAAGTTAGATACTCATTGCAAACTCACTTATTTTCACAATTAAACTACAACTAAGGTGTCCAATTTCACCAATGAGTGCCAAGAGCTCATATTTACCTTTGAACCATACTTAATGAATTGTTGTGCAGTACACCATAGCATTCACAATACACAAATATCACATATTTGATACTTAAACCTTTGATACAAAAAACAAGAGGGGATCAATTTCACATTAAATGCAAATATACTCCTTTACAATCAATTTCATCATCACTATCTTACTTGTAATAGTATTTTATCCCTGCCTAGATACACCAACTATGATACATACAACCTAGAGTTGAAAATACATCATGTAGCTCGAATCAACTAATAGTGCAAGTAAGTCAAAATATGAGATTTTCTAGTTGGCAACTATCAATTCAAAATACACATAGTTAAATTACTAAGGGTCTATAGTTAGGATTATCAGATCCTAAGCCTCTAGCGCTTTCCTTTAATCTTGACCTGGGCTAACTCCGGTAAATATTAAAGAGAGAGGTATGGATATGACTACTTAATAACTAAGTTTAATCAAACGTATACAAATACATGTGAATCAACTGTAGCAATATAAGTGGCATAAACATTAGTTTCATGTATTTTGCAATTATTTCATGATCAACCGCAGCCATAAATATATCAACCACATGACCTATAAGATCTCACAACATGCAAGGTCACAATAAGAACAACCATATGCCCATGTCAATTATATGCATGATCAATTCTATCCTTATACCTTCCCAATACCTTAGACATAAAACTGTGGGCTATTTAGGGTTTGTTCATGTGATAAGACTATCAAAGTCATCTAATTGTGAGAAGCTATCCAACTAAAATTACTACATTTATAGTTCACAATTTCCCCCAAACCACACATTATTGCATGTTGTGGCCCTAAGCTAGTCTTATCATATAATAGGTAGAGATTAGTTAGGTTCGAGTCTCTCGTTAAACAAGTGAAATAATTCATTGTAAGACAAATGAGACAATATATATAAAAAGGCAAGTCATCAAGCTTCAAATTATGGGTACACCACATGAATTTAAAAACTCTACTCCTTTTCCCAGTCAAACTCTCGCCTTATATGATCATGTAATGCAACATATACATAATAACACATAGCATGGACAAATCTCAATCATTATATTCTTGCAAGTAATATTCACATATTATACTCATAGCCTGTGATTCCTCATGCAACAATAACACACTATTCAAAGATTAGCATAATCACGTTCATTATGTTACAATCACATTGTTTGTTTCATGCTATACTTGTATTTCACTTCCTTAGAAGCATCCCTTTATTTTCAAAACAATTCACAAACATCTATAATTAATTAAACAAATAAAACATAAACTAGATTCTTCACAGTTACCTTAAACTTTAATATGTCAAAAGTTTATCTCTCAATGCAAATACTTTCAAAGCTCTTCTACCTTAAACTTGAAGAGGTCAAATGTTTACCTATTAATATGAGTACTTTCACAGGTAATGCAACACATACTTAACATGTAGTATGCACAAATCTCAGTCATTGTATTCTTGCAAGTAATATTCACATACAATACTCATAGCCTATAATTTCTTATGCATCAATAACACATTATTTAAAGATTCATAATCATATTCATTATGTCACAATCACATTATTTGTTTCATGAATACTTGTATTTCACTTCCTTAAATACATCTCTTTGTTTTCAAAACAATTCATAAACTACTATAATCAACTAAACAAGCAAGCCATAAACTAAATTTTCTTTATTTAACTTAAAGTTTGAAAGGTCAAATATTTATCCCTCAATATAAGTAAAGCTCTTTTCAAATTTGAATGGTTTCAATAGGTTGTCAATCTACAATTTATCACACCCATAATCATTAATTCTATCATTAATGAAATTACATCCCTTTTCTAAGTTTGTCAAAAGATGAAGAAGAAATGAGAAGGCTTAGAAAACTTACTAGGATAGATTGGAGGCTTCAAATCATTCTCAAATCTTCATAAACCTAAGCCCTAGTAGGGCTCTAGATGTTCTCCTTTTCTTTCTTGCTTAACCTTTCTTTCTCTTGTTGTTTTTTAATATGAGTTGCAACACATGTAGGATGGTACAGAGAGCATCCTTCGCCCAATTTGTGCCACATGACATGAGGGATGGTACAAAGAGGGATCCTTTATATTTTCTCCCATTTTTAGGCTTAGTTGGCCTAATTTTTCCGTGGACTAGATTCTAAAGTTGTAACCATAACCAAATGAGTCCAGTAGTCCCCTCTAACGGTCCTCAAATCTAATCATACTTTTTAATTACCTTTATTAGACTTAGTTAATTAGGGAGTTGATTTTTAAGATGTTACAAATTACACATGCCCAACTTGAACAAGAGATCATTAGAAAGACCAACTTTAAGAGGCTTGGTATAGATGTTGGCAATGTGATCCTTAAAGCAAATAAGAAGTAAACGGATGATTCCAACTTAAAGCTTATCATAAATAAGACAACAATCCAACTCGATATACTTGGTACACTTATGAAAAGTAAGATTAAAGGCAATATGAAAAGCATATTGATTA